AATAAAAGACCTGCAAAAAGCCACTGAGGACTCTGACTCCTCCTTTACCTGGTCTGCATGGGATCAAAGAAAACCTGCTTAGTGTCATCCCTGCCTCTTACAATTGCCATAAGTCAGCAAGATGATCCATGCAGACGGGTATGGAGACCTCCGAAGACCTGGCGGGACTAAGGAGTTGTAACGGACTGTGTTTGCCTGTGATGACGCTGGAGGCATCATGGTGGCACAGGAGATGGACAAGGTACAGGAGCTATAGGACGAGACCTGGCATGAATGAGATGCCGGAGAGGACCAGCCAATGACCCCCGAGAGGACCAGCCAACGACCCCCAAGGCAGCAAGAATCGTCGGGGAAGAGAGGACCGCGATTCGGAGCTCACCAGTGCTGATGGAAAGGCCTAATGGACTTGGACTGATGATCTTGGACTGACAATCCCTCCAGCAGGCGGAGGACCTTGGCAGGTTATGTTTTTTTTTGGGAATCTGGGGGTGGCCAGTGGGCCTTGATAGCCAAAAGCAGCCTGTGTATGCCCAGCAGCCAGGCGGAGGAGAAAAGCCAACTGAGAAGGCACAAGCTGGTACCGATGCTAAGTTGAGAAGCCCTGAGCAGCTGTTAAGCAGCCTGAGTATGCGGAAGACCTGTGAATCTTGTAAAATCACCCATGGGTGATGCCCTGCTCGTTGTTGAGTGAGGGTGAGGAGCTGAGGAACCCGTCCTTGGGGGACAGATGGGGAATGTGGCTTGGGGTGGAGCCCAAGCCGCATGTAGAGTTTGGATCCCTGACCCATGTGCTTGTGCAGGGGTCTGCGAGTCGCATTGGTGGCTATGAAAGCCGAGTATTGGAGTGACAGCAGACAGACACCCTGAGGGTTGGGCGATTACCCCCAAAGAGTAGAGAATCCCCATTCCAGGAGTGAGTGCATCCTGGGGGTGGATGCTGTGTGTGGCTTGTAACCGAGACTACAGCCAGAGAAGGCCAGGAAGCCTGACGGCTCCTGGTGTGTTACAGTAGATGCCGTGAGTGATTCCCCTCCCTCGTATGAGCAGTGCCTTCTGCAGCAGATTTGGTGGCTCATCTGCTGGTACCAATAATTGTCTTTTGCCACTAGGTTGGGGCCCTGCCTAGACTTATTTGTGTTCTGTTGTATTTTGTTGTTATATTATGATGTATTTGCTTTTGTGGGCCATGGCTGCATTGTTTGTTTGCTAAAATTGTATATAGGAAGACTATACGGCAGAAACCCTGAGGGGGTGGACTGTAGGGTAAGGAAAAATGTCAGGCTTTTCTGCCCTCCCACCATCAGGATAGATGATGGATCCTTGCGGTCCTGAATGCATGCCTGATGGCGGGCACCTGGAGTAGGGTGTGGGCATAGGTAGATGGGATTCACCTGGGCTAAGACTGCTTTTAAGGGCGGCGTCACGGGGACGCCAATAGAAGCTGAAGCAGAAGCCCAGAGAAGGCCAGAGAGCCCTTAAGAATGAAGACCTGCTAGAGGCTGGGAGGCCTGCCAGCCTCCCAGCCCCTCAGCCCCCCAGCACTCCTGCCTGCCATGTACCCGCTAAATCCCAATAAAAGACCTGCAAAAAGCCACTGAGGACTCTGACTCTTCCTTTACCCGGTCTGCTGGATCAGAAAACCTGCACTGTGTCCATTCCTGGACTTTACAGGGCATACATGAGCTGAGAGACTGAGTGTAGGGCCAGTATCAGGACACGGAGCAGGTTTTCTAATATCCAGCAGACTGGGCAAAGGAGGAGTCAGAGTCCTTAGTGGCTTTTGCAGGTCTTTTATTGGGGTTCACCAGGCATATGGCAGGCAGGGGTGCTGGGGCGCCGGGAGGCTGGCAGGCCTCCCAGCCCCCAGCAAATCCTCACTCTTATCTGGGCTCTCCGGTGATCTCTGTTTCTGCTTCTTGGCTTCTCTTTGGCTTCTTTCTCGGCTTCTCTTTCAGCTTCTACTTGCATTTCCATGATGCCACCCTTATAAGTCCAGTCTTAGCCCAGGTAAATCTCATCTACATAGGTCCACACCCTATTCCAGTCCGCCATCAGGCATGCATTCAGGACCGCAGGATACTTCATCTATCCTGATGGCGGGAGGGCAGAAAAGCCTGACGTTTTCTTTACCCTACACTGAGCATATAAGGACATCATCACAGAGGACGGGGTGTGGCAGAGGACCTGGCAGTGGGGTGCAGTGGAGAACAGTGGAGTGTGGTAGAGAACGGCTACGAGAGGAAAGAGCGTATAGAGACTCATAGAGGGCCCAAGTTGCTTTCTCCTTGCTGGCTTATTTCCCCTGCGTACTATTAGAAGACCTGTGGGGATTATGCCAAGGGCTCCAAGATTCTCTTTTAAACTGCCTGAACTGACAGTAAACCTACCCAGCCTGGGATGGTTGCAGAACAATTGGGAATCTCTGGTCTTCCAACTTTGTCAGACATCACACTCACCTGTAGGATTTGGGGGGGCAGATTTCTGGGTCTTACTTAAGAGTTTCTGACTCAGTATATCTAAGGTGGGAAATGAAATTTGCACTTTCAACAATTTCTCAGGTGATACTTGGTGCTGCTGTCCCAGGGATAGTCTTTGAGAATCTCTAGAAGAGGTCAAGTAACCTGCTTACCTTGTGGCAAATGATGATGCAGCAGTAAGTTATTTCTGCAGAGGATAGTGATTAGATAATTTTCTGCCTCTCATTACTCTTTCATTGTCAATTACATGCACAAGAGGATGTTATTCTTCAGTACCCTTGAGTGTGACCTCAGTTAAATTCATATTACATATATTATCACTATAACATTTATAATTTGTTTAATATAAAAAGTTGGCATTTCATACCTAATTTATTTAACATAACATGTAAAATAATTTATTTAACATTATCTTGTGTTTCTGTATTTAATATGCCTTCTACTTTTTTTTTTAATTTATATAAGATTTATTTATTTATATAAGAACCATGGTACAGGCCAAATGCACGGGAGGGTGAGAGGATTCACCAGAGACAGAGTGGGGAACAGAACAGGTAGACTGACGAAATACACTGCTGAGGGGAGCAGTAGATGAGACAGGAGAGGTCTGCTTTGCAGTGTGGAATTCTCACTGGCCTGCTGGCTGGGATCGAACCTGCGCTGCAGAGGCTGATGCCAGCTTCACAGTGTGATGCTCAGCCACTTGCGCCACCAGGGAGGCCCTTTGCCTTCCACTTTTAAGAGATCTGCAATACCTACATTTGTCACAAGATGGCATCAAAAGGATGTGGATTTTGGTTGAAATTTGATTTTTGAGACTAGATATTGGTATTTTCACTTCAAAAATATTTTCTTAATTATGAAAGTATAATGGGAACATATATTAATGTTATTGTTGAGTAATTCTTTTGGAAATCAATGAACCATGAATCTTAATGTAGTAATGTAAATTTACTATCATATTTCTCCTGGAAGGACTTCAGATGAATTTGTTAGCAAACAGCTAGAAGATCTTATTGTGTTATGATTTATAAGGTTTTCTTGTGCAAATTGAAGCTACAGATCTTGCCCCGATGATCTTCAAATTTAATTGGGGAAAAATAAGTATATATGCAATTCAAGGAGAACAAATTAATAAAAAATTATCAAGTACAATGCTTTATGATATAGACTATACATACAACATGAGCTGGAATAATGGCCAATTAAACAAAATTTTTTTAAAGATTTATTTATGCATACAAGAGCTGGGGTAGAGGCCAGAGATGCGGGGAGGTGGGCTGAGAGGATTCACCAGAGAGAGAGAGTGGGGAGCAGAACAGGAGAATCTACTGAAATACACAGCTGAGGGGAGCAGCAGGCGAGACAGGAAACGTCTGCCTCACCATGTGGGTTGCTCCCTGGCTGGCCGGGGATCGAACCTGTGCTGCAGAGACTGCCGATTGCTTCATAGTGCGGTGCTTAACCCCTTGCACCACCAGGGAGGCCCTAAACAAAATTTTAAAGTATATGATTTAAACATCAGAAAACACTTGGAATATGAATTAATCTTTTATTTCATGAGTATATATATATTTTTTTTCTGAATAAAAGGATTTTTCAAGAGGGTGAGGATTTTCTGGTGACACAGATATTACTTATAATATTTTTATATTCCTACACTGTGAAAAACATGTATTGAAAATAACATGTAAAATAATGGTGCTTAGGGACTCAGGGGAGGAAGGAAGGGACTTGTTTAATGGGTGCAGAGTTTTGCAAGATGGTATGTTTTGGAGATGCGTCACAACAATGTGAATATTCTTAACACTTCTGAACTGTGCACTTAAAAATGGTAAATATGATGCATTTTTACTGCAAAAAATGTGTCTACTACAAATTATAAGCCATTAATATAACTTTATGGAGAATTAATGCTCCTAACTTAATTTTAGTCTTTAAGAATTACTTAAAAGAAATGAAAGTTCCATCTACAAGTTTGTAGTTAGTGATAGAAGATTAACCTAATGTTAATAAGTCATCTACTAGAAGTTTGACATATACCAGGCACCGTGCTAGAAAATTACTCTATTTCTCATCTTTATTCCTCAAAACAATGTAGGAAAATAAGTTATCACTGCATTTCCCTGTTTTAGCTAAGGAAACTAAGTTTGATAGATATGATGGTTCAGTACTTTGCTGAAGGTTGCAAAATTTCTAATCTTGGTATTGGTATGTAAACCTTAGTCTGTCTAACTTCAAAATAACTTTTCTTTAGCTACAACATATTTAAATAACAAGTAATTAAAAATATAAATAAACAAGGTATTTCATGGTATTTCTACTGCTAGTAAACACTATCTCAATTATTCTAACAAAATGAAATGAAAGGGTATGTGATTTAATTAATGGTAACAGTTAGCCAGTTTTATGTTTTAACATCAGAAAGGATAACCATATAATTTTTTTGTTGTCTGAGTTGTCTCACTTTTTGTTTCATTTTTTGGAAATACTAATTTCTTTTCCCTATGTATTCACGTGCAGGTTATGTGGGTATGTAATTTGTGCCGAAAACAACAAGAAATCCTCACTAAGTCAGGAGCCTGGTTTTATAATAGTGGATCTAATACACCACAGCAACCTGATCAAAAGGGTCTTCGAGGACTGCGAAATGAGGAGGCACCCCAGGAGAAGAAAGCAAAACTACATGAACAGGCTCAGTTCCAAGGACCCTCAGGTGACTTAACTGTACCTGCAGTGGAGAAAAGTCGATCTCATGGGCTCACAAGACAGGATTCTATTAAAAATGGGTCAGGATTGAAGCACCAAATTGCCAGTGACATAGCTTCAGACAGGTAAACATTTTGTTTAATCTTTAGGTAAACATATCTTCATATAATTTTCATTCCAAAACAAGTGAAAATACATGAAATGTCTAGGCAACAGTGACTTGTCTAAATGTAATGCAAATATCCATATGTTTTATATAAATGCTGGAAGTGATGTTCAAAACTTGAGCTATATAGGTTTGAACATCAAGTTTGATGAAGGAGTCAGGTTATCAGATTTTCTGGAATAAACAAGTGAAATAAAACAGGGAATTTAGATAGGATGTTACTGTCCTAAGAAAGACAAATGGATAATAATGGTAATGAATACAAGATGATTTTAGGATGTTATAGAGAGTGTATGTTGATGGAACTAATTGGAAGTGGGAGTTAATTGAGTGGAGAAGGTTAGTGATGTCTCCCAATGTCTCATTTTAGGTTGAAGGATGAGGTGATTTTCCAAGCAGGTAACAATACAGATGAAAAAGTTTCAGGAGTTTGATATATCCATGGGCTAAAACTCTATTACTAGCATTTGACTCAATTCTATGGGCTTCCTTGTTCTAAGAGTTAGATTTTTAAAGATAATGTTTATGAACTTTATATTTCCCGCCTCTGAAAGGGGAAAATGAGAAATTTTCATGGGAAGATTATTTTTCTATTCCATATGGCACTGTTTGAATTGAGAAATTTATAGAGAACTCCGGTTTATGCTATTTCTATCATCTAGAAGTGCTCGATACATTTTTTTGTGTGTGTGAACAATTATGAAGTCATGCATTTGAGGAAGAACAAATCTAAATTGTACTTTGAGGATGGTGGGTTCTGATCATTCAGGTCTAACAGGTGAGATAACTGGGGATCACTACCAAATATGTTGCTGTGTCTTGAGATATAGAGAATAATAAAATGATGACTTTGCCAGTACTTTTGAAAAGTAACATAAGTGAAACAGTATAATTCTAACTTTGGGCAAAACAATGGTACTTTAATGTCTGGGATACTGTGAACACATGTCAGTGGGAAATCTCAGGAACCCAAGAATTTTAATGTAGAGGGCCTTCTTGGAACCCTGTCTACCTTAAGCATACAAAGATTTGAGTGCTAATAGTTTCTTTGGAAGGCACTTCCAGGCGCCTTTGGTAGGGGATGGGGAATAATCCTATAAGAATAAGAACACAATGTTGGGGACATTCAAAGGCAAGTTACCTCATTTGGTAATTCTTTCTCAAATGTAATTGGGATTTAAGGGAGTCCGGATAGAATGACAATTATCCCATAATGGGCAAGGAGTCTGGCATATTGTCCATAATTTTCCTTTGATATTGGTTTAAGGCTCTTTCTGAGGGGTTAAGGGGTTAACCACTGGAATTCACTGGCCAAGCATGTTCTTGTGGTCATAGAGCACTCAGGCAGAGCGTTACAAATACAATAAGAAGACATTGCTATGAAGGGGATGGTGAGTGATAAGGCAGTGTGTGTTGGGACATTAACAGTGCCTGCTACACAAGGACTTTAGGAACCAAGAAAGTCTGTAAGATTGCAAATGTAATGGTCAGGGTGTCTGAGCTTGGATGAAGAAAAACAGCTGATAAACCAATGGAGGTAGGATATTAAATGAATGAATGAATGAAGGGATAATTAAATAAATTGGATAATGGGAACATAACTCATTCCTCAAAAACTAGATAGCTGCATGATATAGTTTCCTTTGGAGCTCAGAAAGGCAAGATTAGGAAGAAAAAAGGAAATGCTAAAATACTGGGTCACAAAATAGATTGTTATCCTTTTGAAATGAATATTGGTAGGAAATTGTAAACTTTAAAAATAAATCTGGCAAACTTATGAGTAATTAATTCATCATTGTAAGAAAATTAGAAGCCTATCACTCATCTTTGAAGAAAGCAGTGATAAGAACAAATGCATCTCTTTCAATAGTATCTCTTAATGCTTCTTTCATTGACAAAGTACTAGTTTGAACAAATAGAATCTGACCTGTTGTGGGGAGACAAGATCTGTAGTATTTGTTTTCTTTCACCTGATGCCTGACAGTCATTACTAGTAAATACATACTTTAATGATTCAAAGTGGCCTGTAATTATATCCTTTTTTTCACCCTTACAGGAGTCAAACTGTTGCTTCCTTTTGTTTCTAAGAATTATTTTACTCAGGGAAGAAGTTAAAGTTTAATGCCTAGAAAACAGAACTTATTACATTTCACTATAAATTTTTATTTAGAAAATACTTTCTCTTCAAGCACAATTCAGTTCTTATTATCAGCAAAAAAAACCTTTATTATTATTATTTTTCCAATACAGATTCTATAGTAATTTATTAGGCATATGTCAATGATCCCTTTGAATTCTTTCTCCAAAGAAAGAATGTGTCTTTTATCAGTGTTTTAGTTGGACAGTGAAATGGAGCTACTGAAAGGGAATATAATTGTAATCTAAAAGATTATCACTAATTTGTTTCTTTTATACTGTTCAGAAACTAGTGGCTTCAAAAGGAGCAGCTTTGGTTTAAATCTCTATGGTTTAAATTTAAATCTCTATGGATCTTGAACTATGAGGGGTAGAAAAGTATTTTACGGTTCCTTTTTTTAAGGAGCTTTAATCTTTTCCCTACCTGCTGTAATAGTTTTGATCTGCTTAATGCCATTTTACTTCTTTCACGAGTCTTAGTGTAGAACTTTACACATAGACCCTTAGTATTTATCGAATTATGAATACCAAGTTGACCTTAGACCTTAGCTTGAGTTAATGAGTATTAGAGTATCTTTGAAGGGATACTATGGTATGTTAAAGATATGTGCTGGACACCCTAAAATAAACAGTTATAGGTAATAAATCAACAAAGGAGATAAAATGAAACACCAAGCTGTATCACTAGAAGGCAGAAAGAGTGGGAGAGGAAAGGGAACAAGTAACACATCAGGCTTAATAATGTACCCTAAGGCACAGAGTGTCAGATAGTAAATGCAGTCCCCAAACTAAACTGTCTATAAGAAACGCACTTTAAGTAGGAGAAAATTAGTTAAAAGAATTGAAGATATACCGTGATCATACTATTCATAACCAGGAGAAAGTTGGGGTGGTTATATTCAGATCAAAATAGATTTCAGAACAAATAATATTATCAGGAATAAAGAACGACGTTACCTCATATTGTAAACAGACCAGTTAATTAAAAGGATATTATAAACACATACAGGCACACACACAGCTTCAAAATACATGAAGCAAACACAGGTAAAACTAAAAGGACATATAGACATATCCACAATTATAATCAGAGATTTTATTATCTTCCTCTCAATTTATAACTAAAAGAACAAATAGCCAAAAAATCAATAAGGTATCTAAACTTGAACAGGTCAGTGAACTTGACCTAATTGATGTTTATTAGGCAATATACCAAGCAAGAACAGAATATTCATTCTTATTAGGGTTACACAGAGCAGTTACCAAGATTGACCTTATTATGGCCATTAAACTATTCTAATTAAATTGAAAGAAATGCATGCAATAAAAAATTTGTCCTCTGATCAAAATGGAATTAAGTTAGAAAAGAGTAATAGAAAGATCTCTGGAGAATTTCCTAACCTTTGAAAACTAAATAACATACTTTAAAATAGCCCACAGATCTAAGAAGAAATCAAAAGAGAACACAGAAATTTAATTGAATTATTGCATTAAAATGAAAACACAACATCAAAATTTATAGGATATTACTAAAACAGTATGAGGGCAGACTTTATAGCACTGGAAATCTTTACTTGATAATAAAAAAGGTTTCAAAAATTGATTTCAGCTTTCACCTTAAGAAACATAGAAAAGCAAAGCAAATTAAACCAAGTAAGAAGAGTAAAGATTAAGAAGGATTAAAACAGAAATCAGTGACACAGAAAATCAATGAAGCCAAAAGCTGATTCTTTGAGAAGATCAATAAAAAATTTTAAGCCTCTAGACAGACTAACCAGGGAAAGAAAGAGAAGATACAAATTACCTATAATATGAACAAAGGGATAATGTCATCACTCATCAATGATATTTAAGTGCTGATGTTTTGAAAAGTATTATGCCTATAAAACCAACAATTTAGATGAACTTGACAAATTCCTTGAAAAACACAAATTAAAAAAAAAACACAAATTATCAAAATTCATTCCAGAAGAAATAAATAGTTTGAATAGCATTTTATGTACTAAAGACATTACATTTGTGTCAAAAATCTTCCCAGAAATAAAACTACAATCCTAATGATATGACGAGTATATTCTAATTAGACTGTTAAGGAAGACATGATGCTATTTAACTATTCAAGAAAATTGAAGAGAGACTGTTTCCTAATTTCTATTCACCAATATTTCTTTGATACCAAAACCAAGACTTACAAAGAAAGAAAAGCCCCTACAGAGCAACATCCCTCGTAAATAAAGATGCAGAGACTCTAAACATATTTAGCAAATTGAATCATCAATATGTAAATAGGACAATACATGATGACCAAGTGCTTTTTATCTCAGGATGGTGGAATTAGTTTAACATTTGAAAATCATGATAATTTATCATTTTAAGAAAATAAGAAAATCATATTATTTCAATAAAGAAAAAATAACTTGGTAAGTGCCAGTATTTATTTTTAGTAAAAATTCTCAGCAAATTAGGAATAGAGAGGAATTTCCACAGTCTGATCAAAGTCTTCTATGACTATTCTGTAACTGACATCAAATTTATTTATTTATTTTAAAAGATCTTATTTATTTTTGTGTAGAAGAGCTGGGGTGTAGGCCAGAGGTGTGGTAGATGAAATTGTAACACAAAGTTCCTGAGGGAACTTTCTAGAGTGATGGAAATGATCTGTACCTTGACAGGGATATAGATTATTGCTTGTATATATTTGTTAATAGCTATTGTAGTGTTACATTTAAGATCTATATGCTTTTTACTGGATGTAAATTATACTTTAATAAGACATTAAGAGGGAATTATGTGCATATTTGCTACATTAAAATTGCAAAATTTCTTCCCAGTTTTATTGATATAATCGGCACATAGCATTGTTGGTATACAACATAATGCTTTGATTTATGTATATATGATGAAATAATTACCACAGAAAGTTTACTTAACATCCATCACCTTACAGTTATAAATTTTCTTCTTGTGATGAGACCTGTTAATATCTACTCAGGCTGCATTTTTAAATTGCTACTGTAAGTGAAATTTTACTCGTACAAAATGGTTTATTCTGAAGTAATGATCAGAATGAATTAATCTTTCAATAATGGTTCTTTTCAGTCAGATGTATCTATCTATATTTACTTAAGTGTGGTTACATATGCTATGAAGACTAAGTAACCTATCTGTATGAGATGTCCTATGAAACTGTGGTACAATTCTAATATTTTTTTCCCCAAAAGATTATCTGAGATATATGGTGAGGGAAAAATAACATGAAGATG